ATATAGTATAATAATAATTTTACACCAAGAAGAATGATAAAAAAAGGGAAACTTATAATTGTAGAGTATTATTAAATCAGTCAAATGCCAGTTGGTAACTGAAGAGTGGTTATTATGGCTGCATAAAACATCTTTGAGCTATTTTTTCGTGTGTGTGTGTGTGTGTGTGTGTGTGTGTGTGTCTTCTCAAGTTGCTACTTTGTGGAAATCAGCTAAATTCATCTTATTGCACATAGTATAGAAATTTTGTTTTCGGCATCAATACAGGGAAATGTAAGCAGTTGAGTCAGGTGATTTTGTTTTTCAAAGACATTTTCTCCTGAAGGAAACTCAAGTGCTAAGGCTATTTCATGTAATCTAAAGAAGGTCTACTACTTCATGATAATGACCAAGCTGTAGGAACAGAATCTTAGGAGGAAATAATCATCCCCAAGGGGCAAGTCCTGCAAACTTAACCTGTTTTACAGGTGGAAATATCACACACACACACACACACACACACACACACACACACACACACACACAAATATTATTGGAGGGATTACTGACACACTACATTCCTGTATATATCAAAGAAAAAACATTCCCGTTTACCATTATGAAACATGCATCTGAGTCAACCTGCCGTGTGTATTTTTTTACACGCTCTATCCCATTACAGAGGTAATATCGACCAAATAAATGCGGTGCATATCTACATGGTTCGCTCTCAGCTACTTTGCCTATGCCTCATTCTTCCCCTTCTTTCCTCTGAAGGCTGAGAAAGCAAATAAAGGAAATGTAGTGGCTGGCAGCACACAGCCTGCGGTACAGTGGGTATTTTGTATCCTGCAGCTGGAGCTTTTGGTACTATGGCCAGGCTTCGTTTGTTCCATATGAATACAAGCTACTAAATGTAGAGAATCCATTTGGCATTCAATTAAGAGCTCTCTTGACTCCTGTTATTAAAGCCTATAACTATTAAGCGTAAAATTAAAGTTGAACAGTTCAGCTCTTTTTGACATTATAACACCGCCTGAAAAATAGTGATGCAAAACCAAGTCAAACGTCATCCTTTAAAGCCCATGGACAAATGAAAAGAGGAAATATTGAAGGAAAAGAGTAAATATCTAAAACTTGGCCATTTGCTAATGACATAACACGTGATGTTAGAAACGTATTACTGTTCCCATCCAAATACAGCAACCATTTTGTTGAACACAAGATACTACCTTGATTTTAACAGAGAGCTACAAAATTATTATTGCTAAAGCTCCAGTGAAGGAAATAATTAAAGCATTAAGCATTTTTAAGGTTTTAAAGTGATTTTAAGCAATAACCAAAAAATACTATAGGAAATCAATATACCGTAATTGAAAGGAAATTGAATTGGTCCTTATTTTTTAATCCCTTCTAAATTTTCTCTAGACTGCCAGACCATGGGAGATAGTGAATCTTGTTTTGCCATCAGCAGTATGACTTTCTGTAAATCTCATGTGCTGCAGGGGCCACTTTTATTATTTTTTACTTAGAAAGTGCTCAGCTGAATAGATAGTATTATAAGATTTTGTGTGCATTATCTATATTAGTCCCTGGACTCATTGTTATAAAAAAAAAAAAAAAAAGAAGAAGAAGGAAAAGAAACAAAAACAAAAAACACAGCCAAGCACAAGCAACCTTCTCCACATATCCAGAAAAGCCAAGTTAATAGAATTTCAAACAATGAAGCCACAGAAGTTCTTAGATAAGCCTCACGCTTGAATTTAAATGGAATTCTTCTATTTTTTCTTTTTTTCTTTTTAATCAAACACTATGCCAGTCAACCTTACTATGCTGCAAGGAATATGACCCATTGTAGATACAAATTCAATTTGAATCTGTGTGAACTTCACTCATTTGTATTGCTTATTATTGGATGGAGCTATTACAATCAAACAGAATAGCTTGAAGGGAACCTCAGGGAGATGAGTGGATATGAACAGAAATTAAAGAATCTTAAAATTTGAAAAATCCTTCAAAAAGATGTGAATAATCAACATTTCCTATGTGTGTTGCTGTTGTTTCTTTCCTCGTTTATCTTCAGTATACATTTGGAGAAGCATTAACAGACCTTAAGATAAATGAAATGCATCCCACACTTATCTTTAGTATGTTGGTAACACAAAGTAGAGATTTCCAGAAATATTTTTGAGACTGTCTTGTCCGTTTAACTTATCTACTCCTTTCCTTATTCTACTCAACGCCTCTGGATGGCTTAAGTGAATAAAAGCACACTGGAAGGAGCACAGCCTCTCAATCCTCAGTTTTCTCTTCTGTAAAATGGAGATAATAATGTTACCTTTCTCACGGTGCTGTTTTGAGAACTAAATTAATCAATCTAAGTAAAGACCTTGAAGGACTGGCATATACTATGCACTATGTACACATTGTATTTCTTTAATAAAAATGGTAATTGTGATGATTTACCTTTTAAACTGTATTGCCGAAATGTGAATTCGCTAGCTGTTATAGAGAGGCAGCTACTTAACAGTTCTGAGCTTTCATTTTTTTTATTATAAAATAGGAATAATATTTTCTATACCTACCTCAAGTAGATCATATTTATGAAAACAATTCATAAGCTATAAAACAGCACTGCAATTGAAGCACTGGAATCTGGACTTTTTTTTTTTTTTTTTTTTTTTTCAACGTTTATTTATTTTTGGGACAGAGAGAGACAGAGCATGAACGGGAGGTGAGAGAGAGGGAGAACAGACGAAGCCCAGGCTCGCCACTTCAGCCCAGGAGCTTCACGCTGGCGGGACTCACTGACCGCGAGATCAGACGGACTGGCTGAAGTCGACGCTTAACCTGACATGCTGACCCAGGCTTCCAACCTGACTTTTAAAAGCACTAGTTTAGGGGCACCTGGGTAGCTCAGTCAGTTAAGCATCTAACTCTCGATTTCGACTTCAATCATGATCTCACGGTTTGAGTTTGAGTCCTACATGAGGCTCCATGCACTGACAGTGCAGAGCCTGCTTGGATTCTCTCTCTCTATCTGTGTGCCCCTCCGCCACTTGCACTCTGTCTCCTGCTCTCTCTCCCTGTTCCTTTCTCTCTCTTTCTCTCTCTCAAAATAAATAAACTTAAAAATATATATTAAAAAATAAATAAAAGTATTAGTTTAAATCCTAGTTTCATCTCTTAGTAGTAATGTGACTTTAGATGAGCCCTTAGATTAATAGATGGCATTTATTCAGGCAAACCGACAGTCAATTCACCAAGGCAGACAAAAAAAAAAAAAAAAAAAAAAAAAAAAGAAAGAAATCCTTATATTTACTTTGGCAGCTTAGACATGTTTACCTTGAACAAGATGATGTCCTAAAAGCTATCCATTAAGCTTAGAATTAAGTAATAGAATGTAGAAGGTGGATAGTGTGCTAGCTAGGTCTCCACTTACGGTTGTAAATCACTGTTTCCGCCAATATTAATTCATCTAAGAAAATAAAATCTTGAAAAGTTACTAGAAAAAGTGCACATCAAGGAATGTAATTGGGCATAGACTCTGGTTGACCTCAGAAGAGAACAAAAACTCAAAAGAAATTTCATAAGGTTTTAAATGTGACGAGAGGACTACAATATCTCTGATAATTAGACTTTCAACACATTTGGATTTGCTAATGGGATCTAAGTTCTAATTAGACTTTTTAGGTAACTAAGAATGGCATACCATTGTATGAATTTAATGTGCTTTTATAGTTGAAACCTACAATTAGCAGGCTTTTCCAAATTCTTTTAATACAGGAAAAGCTGGCTTTTTGTTTATATTGTGACATACTTTCTCTTTAGATCTATGCACATTTCAGGTTTCTTAATTAAAGCCCTTTTGGGGACTCACAGAGAAACTTGAGTTTTAATAGGAAGCACCTAAATCTTTTATTTGTGAAGGAGACTTGCCAGTTTGTCAACAACTCTGGAAACCACAAGCACAATGCAATACGAGGAAATAAATCAGCTTTCAGGAGGAAGCCACAGAAATAACCAGGGCTCCCTGTAAACCATTCAGTCAATCAAAACAGTCTCCAAATATGACTGAAGGTCTGTTACATTTTTAAAGCATGCAAATATGGATAGGTTCCCAAAAGTGAAGCCTCGTGGATCTGGTATCAGAATTAATAGCATGGCATTTCTTCCCAAGATGTGTATTATAGCATTCTTTGCAGCTTTGCTCACTGAGTTATCTGCTAATTCAAGTCACAACATCTCTTTTTTTTCTCTCATTTCTGAATTGAGAGTCATCAATTTTTATCCCCTTGTGATTTAGAGGCAGTGATTTTAAAAATGGTAGCCCTTAGATTTGGATATTACAAGAGATAAGAACTGCATGAGGATGTAAAATTAAATCAGTATTTGGAGTGTAAAGAGCAGTGAATCATTGCAAGACTTTAAGGGAAAGGCTGCTGCCAAAATATCCCCAGGAAATTGATAGCACTGACAAAAAAGGCAAATTATACTGTTGTATGTACTATGAATATTTGAAAACAACAAAGCTATATCCATGACTTTTTCCCTCAACTAAAAGCAGTAACCCTTCTAACCGTATTAAAAATCTTGTAGTTTTTCTAATACAAGCAGTGTAATATCTAATTAAAACCATTGAAATTATAAGAAAATCTAACGTGTGCAATAACTGATCTATTAGAACAGACATTATACTAAAATTATATGCACTATTATTTTTCCAATTAGTGCATAACTGGGATTGAGTTATTGGTGTATTTATAACTCCTTGTTAAGTCGTATGTCCTCAGTGAGTCTGCTAAAGCATATTGGATACTGTCATATGCCATAGAGTGATACTTAAAGGCAGGAAATGGAATTTCTGATTGCTTCATTTGCTATTAAAAAGAAAAACCTATTCAGGACCCTTCCTGCACCAGTTATTCTGAGGGACATCACACGATTTTCTGAAAGATCTTTGCCGAGGTGATTGGATTGTTCTTCAGTGGGGAAAGTGACCAAGCTATTTCATCTTTCAGCTTGGGTGCTGGAATCCTGTCACAGGGCTGAACGGGTCACTGACTGACAAGAAACTGGAGAATAACATGCGTGGAGTGGTTCTCCGTGTGGTGACTGTTCTGGTAAGTCTTATTGGAGCCTTGTGGTTTGGGCTTCTAGAAGTTACTGTATGCTTTGTTTTTCTATGTTTTATTAAGTCGTGCCATCATCTTAAAAGAGCATTTAACAAATCCTGACTATGCTTTCTAAGATATTGCAACGATCATATTTTCCAACCTTCAATTTATATAGATCAGAGTCAGATTTTTGCAGGCTTTACTTTTAATTACAGTGCTTTCGTCAGTAACTTTCTCAGACACTTTAGGCCCAATTTCCATCCTTCTGCGGTTTCCTACACATGGTAAAGTAAAGGTCTCCCTCAGGCATTCTCTCACTGTAAGCATGCACAAATGAGGGTAATCATGCCAAACAAGGGTAGAGTTGACCAAATGCAGTAATTTAGTAATACTAAAACATTGGCAGAATACAGTGCTTTTCTAGGAAGAACCTACTTCAAAGAAAGATCATCCAGTTGTTTAATAAATATTTATTGAGAATCGACTGTTTTCAAGCTCAGTGCTGATTACTGGGGACATTGATGAATGAAGAAATAGATGTGATTCTGTCTTTATGAAGCTTACCAACTATTGATTTTGTGAGTGTTACATGTAAATTCTGTGAACTATACATATAAAATAATTATTACAATTATATTCACTCAGAAAATCAAATGATAACTATTATCATTATTCTGTATATTATTTTCTCTTCTAATATACATAAAAAATTGCATGTTGGTAGAAATATTTTAACCAGCAATATACTCAAATGGATACTGTGTAAATAGCCATACAGCAGGAAGATATGAATTTTCCCTTGCTATTTCTGTGTGTTTAGGTTTATGCTACTTTATAGTAAATTTCAAAATGTCCATAGTTGTGAACTTTTTCTTCAGAAAAGCCTACTTGTTTTTAAACTTGAAAATTTTTTTTTTCTATAGGCTAAATTATAGAATTAGTAGATGGAAGAAACACAGTCTTTTTGACAAATTGATGCCAACTGAGTATCAAAGTTCATAACAGCAATGGCTGCCCCTTATAAATTGTTTAATAACAGTTAAGTAGACTCCGCATAATTTCATTATTTAAAAAAAGACCTGTGATATTCTCTATAAGACTACATTCAAATGAGTAGTCTGTCCCCCTTTTTGGTACCTATAATTTATTCCTAGTTATTGTTTTGATAAGATGTTTGCTTCTTCACCAAATAATTATATTATGAGTACCTGACAACTTGAAGGTAATGGTGCTTCTGTATGTGCCCAAGCCTGTGTTATGCATATGCATTGATGTGCTAATACTAAAAAAAAAAAAAGACATTTAAAGTGCAGTGAACTATTAATAGTCCTCTCTAGTTATTAACATGAAATCTCAGGAGACAACTTCAATAAAAAAAAAATATATACATGCTTTGTTTTTGTCTTTGAGATTCATATTTCTAAAGCAAGCTAGCTTCATTTAGTCACTAAGCAAATATTAATTTAATACTTTACTATACAATAGACTCGGTAATGGATATAAAATGAATAATACATATACCTATGTAATAGGTATATATATTCACCTTATAGGTATATTCATACCTCAAGATATACATAGAATCTTGTTGGGAGATGCATATACAAAATAATACAACCAAGAAGTATTAAGTACTTTCTATATGCCAGGTACTTTATGAAGTTTTTTGTCTGTATTATTTTATTGAGTCTTCACAGTATTTCCAAGAAATAGATAATTTTCTGATTCCAAGGATGAGGAAGAGGAAACTGGGACATACAGGAGTTGATTGGAAAAAAATGTGGAGAATATACTGATAGGAAGTAGCAGAGATAGTTAGGATTCAACTCCAAGAAGTCTGACTGACTCTAGACCTCTTAATTTCTTCCCTCTTAACATTATACTGTACCCTTCTCTACTCTTCCTGTGATATGTGTGAGAATTGAGGTATCTATAGGATTTTACTTCACTTGAGAGTTAAAAATCCGTAACTCTGAGTAAGATGACAGTGAATTTAATAGGAAACCTTCATATGGCCAATTATTTTAAATTCATTTCCAGGCTGAACAAAATGATTGCGATTTTGTGCATGAAATGGTATTACTCCTTTACACAGTGGTAATGCATGCATGCCCCAGTCTCACCTTCATGACTAGTAATGGTCACTGTTACCTGTAAGAATAGCCCTGCACAGATCCCAAACATGGTTAGTGAGTGGAAATATGGAAACAGTGTTTCCCCAGGTCCTCTGTGAGGAAATGTGGATTTATCAGTTACGTAAAAGGTCCTTGCACTTGTTACTCTCCCACAATATGCAGCCATTGTACTTAATAGTTTGGTAGGCTTACTGTTTCTTCCCATAATTCCTGTTTGAGTGGAAACCAGCCATGACTTTCTTATTTATTTCCTACAAACACTCTTCCAGTCCAGCTTTTACTTACATGGCCTCACAGGTTTCTACCACCGACACTAAGAATCACTGTCCCCTCAACCCACCCAGCAACTCCAAAATTTTGACTAAATCCTGAAACTTAGATTTGTTTTTTAATAAACTTGATTTGACCATACAAATGCCACTTTCTTATATTCCATGTACTTGCTTTCAATGCTCTCAACAAGGGAGAAGGAGGAGGAAGGATTCCTGTGTAAAGCTTTTGAGGGGAGGTCTTTCAGGTTTTATTGCATCCTAACAGCAATCTGATCCCAGTGTGACACATACTTCCTTTAGTGCTGAGGACATTTCTGCTATAATGACACACAGGTTAATAAAATTGATTTTCTTTACCTAAATTTTGAAGCCCCCATTCTTATCACTATTAATGATAGTTCATGGACTTAAAAGGAATAATCTGATAACTTATTTTTTATTTATTTACTTATTTTCAAGTTAGTTAACATACAGTGCAGCCTTGACTTCAGGAGTAGAATCCAGTGATTCATCACCCACATACATACACCACCAAGTGCTCATCCCGACAAGTGCCCTCCTCAATGCCCATCACCCATTTCCCCACCTACATCAACCCTCAGTTTGTTTGCTGTATTTAAGAGTCTCTTATGATTTGCTCTGATATTTATTTTAAATGAAATAATTCAGCACCATACCATGTATGATCCCATTAGAAAATAAATGGTACATACAAATGGTTAATTAGAAAGAGTCAAATAAATTCCTAGGGTTAAAGGAATCAACAAGAGTGTTGAAGCACCAGGACCTAGATGCACAGCAAGTCTTGCTTGACTGCCCTGACGGGGCATGAGGAGGAAGTAATACTAACAGATTTAGCAATAGCTAGAACCATGGGAGAGAAGACCGTTCAGTAATAGCTGTGAACTTCCACATGGCAAGAGAATGGAGAAAGTCACGGCCAAACCACAATCAGGCAGTGAGGAAGTGAGAAGAGAGGTTACCTCAATTTCACTCCTCCTGTCTTCCATCCCTTCATTGTTTTCAGTTGAAAATCTAACCAGCGTCAGAAGGCAAGAGAGCCTAAGTAAGGAAGACCACGAAGGTCAGAGTGCCAGGACACAAAGCAGGGCAGTGAAAGACATAGTGGATCCAGAGGGGAAATAGGGACAACCAACATCAGCGTCTACTATTTGAAAGGATCTGTTAAAAACTTTAATGTGTCATTTAGTCCTTATCAAAACCCTACAAAAGATGTAGTAATGACATTAGAAGGATGAAAATAGGGCACAAAAATGTTCACTGAATTTCCATGACCGTATAGCTAACAAGAGCTACCGATAAGTTTCAAGCCCAGAGATCTGAGTTCCGGAGGCCATGTCCTTAGCCTCTTTTGTATTCTGCCTTAAGAATCAGAACGAACTCATGTTAGGTTTAAATTAAATATAACTCTTGACACGTGAGGGTTCCAAATGTTATGGGATTGATAACTTCGGAGACTATTTCTAAATAGCGTCACATATGGATACCTATAATCAGCCATCACCAAAGCTACATAAATGTCTTAGAAATGGAGGAAAAGATAGAATGAGAATAAATTCAGACCCTACAAGCTAAGTCCTTTTCTAAACTTTTTGTTTTTATATTTGGCCCACTAATCTCTACTTTTTATCAAGTGGACCAAGTGTATTACTACAAGGCACTTACTAAGATTTGTTTTTACCTTTTAACTTTCAAAATAGTCCAACTGTGGATAACCATAAATGAGCAATTATTTCATTCAATTTTTTTTATGGCAATTCACAAATTGTTGGAAACATCAGAGTTGTAAATATCATTCTAATACTTACAAAAATACAATGGAAAGAATTTGGCAACAAGTGAAAAGAAAGGCTTGAGAAGCTATGCATTTCAAGATACCTGAAAAACATAAACTGGCATTTAGAAGGAGCTCGCTGATTAATACTTATTTTCAATAAGTATTTGGTTTTGCTTAAAACAGACACATGGCTGTGAAACAGCCATGGCTAATGAAACATGAATTCACTCAGAAATTCATTTGAGAAATACTTATTGAGTGCCTTATTCTAGGTGCTTGGGGTACATACAAAACAGACAAACATACTGACTTTTGGGAGTTCTATTCTATCAGGCATCTTCTAAAGCTCTCAGAATTTTTTTTTTAATGCAATACCATTGTCCTACATTAAATATGCAATATAATATTCCTTTGCCATTAGCGTAGAAATAATTTTAAAACTTTGTATAAAGTTTTGATTCGAAATTGATGGTAAAGCTGTGGTGGTGATTTCTCTGTATTTTATAAATTCAAAACCATACAATTTTTAACATTTTAATATCTGTGAAATCAGAGTGCATCTTTCAATTAATGGTTCCTTGCAATTATATTTGACAGTATATTTTATCTTTATTTGTGGTAGGAAAAACAACTGTGCATTTTATAATTGAAAACATTTTAGATTAAATAATATAGAGAGGGTATTTTTATAAGATTAATTAAGTTAATGGATATTCCTGGAAAGTTGAATTCAACAAAACTGGGCAAGAAGCCATCATAAAGAGAGAGACTATTTTAAAGAATTCTTCCAAAAGAAAAGAA